ATCCACATACCTTTGTAACCAAAATATCATATATTTTAGGGCTTCTTATTCTGATTGCTATAGTTCTTTTCTATCTTAATTCCACTGCCCTTTAAGTTCCCACTAAAATATCATTCATGTTTCACTTGTTTTTATATTCAAAAAAGAAAACAAAAAAATGTGAGTCAAAGAATGATTAATGATAGAAACCAATATTTAAAACCCATGATAATGGGATTCTATACTTCCAAAAGAGAGAAAATTATGTAAACCAATGCCACCTCAATAAAAAATAATTAAAAAATAAACATAGGAAAATAAAATGGCGGGGGGTGGGGGAAAAGGGAGTTTTAGGATATCAGATAATCAGAACAAAGCAAAATGGTATAGAGCCAGCAAGGCACAGTGCAGGTTTTCTATGGATTCGGGCAGGTGGGTGAAGGAGCTTCCTAGAGCCCTCAGTGGCTTTTTCAGTCTTTTAATGAGCTTTCTACACCATTTGTAGTAAGGGAACCAGGTGCAGGGCAGGCAGGGGTCCAGAGGGCCAGAAAGCTGGCAGGCCTCCTAGCTCCCGGTGAATCTTCACTCTTTCTGGGCCCTCTGGTGTTCTCTGCTGGTCTCTACTGTGCTCTGTCCCATGGTCTTCTAATGCTGCATAGTCCTCTGTTGCCTCTGTCCTCTGCTGCCACTCTATATGCTCAGCCTCTGGCTCAGGTATGCTCACTTATGCACTTACGCATGCCCACACCACACTCCAGGGTCCCTATAAGGCACTAGTGTAAGACCAGGTATTGGTCAATCATTGATGCTAATAGTGGGAAGGCAGAAAAAAACCTGATTTACCCTACAGATGGTATAAGATATAGGTAACTTAGAACGAACTTTAAAACAAAAAACCAGAGTGCATGAAATTTCAAAATAATCTTCAAAGAGTAAAGGTCCAAGAGAAAATAGGTATTTAATGTTTATTTTTTATATTCTGTTTCTTATACATTATTTTCAATTATTTTAAATTGATAAAAGTTAAGTGAATATAGTCCATAATACATAACACTAGAATGTAAGTAACAGAAATAGATTGGTTTTAATTAGGAAGTAGGAATTTGTGTGAACAGAAATTAAAGTGATAAAGGAACATAGTTTGCTTTTTTTATCCTAGAAGATGAGAATGTGTAATTTTTGATTAATAACCAGCACATTGATATATTTATTCTCAAATTTTTGTAAGTACTTCCATCAGTGTTTGGCCTGTATTAACAAATATTTAAGCCTTGATTTGATTTCTCTGTCACTGTCTCTATTGGATTTTACTTACTTTAGCTTCTAACATAAAAAGAAGAGACTTAAGCTCAGAAAAACTGCACAAAAACAGAGTTATAATAAAAATTATAATAAAAATTGTCTATTTTTATTCTGTTTTCCCATGAATGTCTATGTCAAATAGTTAATTATTAAATAATTCCCAATTTTGTTAGTAATATTAGGAAACTTTAAAATAGACTCTCCCTCAGCGAAATAAGCCAAAAAGAAAAAGAAAAATACCGGATGGTCTCACTCATAGCAGGAATCTAGAAAACTTAAATAAGGGACCAGGAAAATGAATAACTATAAGAAAGTGAAAATCAAAATCAACAAAAAACTATGAACCAGAGACACTTTTTGGGGGGTGGGGGGCGAGAGGGGAGGGATTGGGGTCAGAATGGGGGGGTTGCAATTGTATGGGGAATATAAAAATAAAATGTATTATTTTAAAAAAATAAAATAAAATAGACTCTCCTGCTTTGTAATAATCTATTTTATATGTTTATGTATGTATATAAAAAATATATATATATATATATATATATATATATATATACACCCACACATACATTTGTTATCCTAAGGTAACATTGGTTTGAAACACTGTATTTTTTAATGTTTATTTTCTTACATCATTTTTATCATTTTCTATCATTTGATTTCTCCTGTGGAATACTCCCCATAGTTCTCCTACCACCGCAGCACCCATGACCTAGCACCATAGTCTCTTGTGCTCTTCCCGCCCATTAATCCCCCTCCCTCACTCTCCCTTGTTGTATGCCATCGATGGTTATTTTGCCAGTTTTGTCTTTTTCCTGACCCTTTGTTCAGTAATACACTGTATTTTATTGCCATTAAAAACATATTTTAATGCCATTTTGTCGAAACTGAAATATAGAAAAAACACACTTTGTAAAACTTAGAGCTACCCAAAAATGGAAAAGATACTGAGTTCATTGTGACTTGAGATGTTTAACGAGAAGATAGCCATAATTTTAAATCAGGTAGAAGGAACATTTACATTAATGGTTGTCCTGTGCTCCATTGGAGAGAATGTCTAAAGGTGCAACCACTTGAGCGCCACAAAAAGACCCGAAAGCCTCCATGAATGCCCTGAGGAAACCCTTATCTCCTGCAGCCATAGGGTTTAGGGGCTGAAAATCAAATGCACAGTCTCATCCTGCTTCTGGTTGAATCACAGAACAATTGACCTCTCAACTTCACAAGGTCTCTTCAGTTAAAGTGAGGGATGTGATTGAGAGAGAATGGTATCCCTTAATTTGGAATGAGAATATGTTGAAAGATCCTGATGAAGTTGGAAACACGGAACCATCATGTCTTCATTGAAGACCATCAAATCTTCATTACCTGTGAAGTCTTCCTTACCCCCAGTAGCGGTGGCCCCTCCTCCTCCTCCGGTGGTAGCAGCTCCCCTCCCCCACTGAGAGCAGCCTCTCCATTTGTGTTAGAGAGGATTAACCTTGCATTGCATGACTATAATATAATGGACTCCCCTGAAACAGCAGTCATGGAAGACATTCTGATTTTCTTTAGGACACACCCCCAGCACCTAAGTCGGCTTCTACCCATCATTAGAAACAGTCCCAGCAGGCCTTTGAAAGTGTAACCTCTGACAAGATGAGCTATGCTTTAGTCAAATACTGGAATTTTCTAATGTATACAGGCAGAAATCTAGATAACATGAAAATGGATACTAGTGGGATGAAGGTAGAAGGAATGTAAATTTGGATGAGCCTGAAAAAAATTGGTTTGGGCTCACAAACCAGATGTTATGCACATCATGTTCAGTGCAGACTTTTGAAAGGTTGTCACAATATCTGTGGCTAGTTGGTTAATTAGCTAAAACATGAACTAAATATGACCTATAGTGAGAAAATTAGAAATAAAGGAACTTGTTTTAATACTGAAGAAAGGGGGCATAGTCACTCTCATGAGGAGGGTACAGAATGCATACCTTTCACTCCATTGTAAGAAATAAATTTGTGATGAGAGGTCCAGTCTCCTTGAAGAACTCTTTAACAGCTTTTTCTCTTTGGCTCATTATCAAAGCCCTATTTCATTAGTTCTATTTGCCAAAGATTTTCTCTATTTCTAAACACTTATTAGTTTTAGTTCTACTGTAGTGAATGTAAAGATTACATTTGATTCAATTTTTGTATAAGGTATGAAACGTATATGAAGGGTCACATTTTTCCACAGATGTCCAATTGTTCCAGCACCATCTGTTGAAAAGATTATTCTTTCAACATTGAATTGCTTTTCTGCCTTTCTCAAAAATAGGTTAGTTATTCCTGTGTGGGTGTATTTCTAGATTTCCAACTCTATTCTTATTGTTAATGATTCTGTCTCTCCACTGTTATCACACACTGACTACAGAAGCTACAGCATAAATGTTAATATTAGATATAGTACACCCTCTCACTTTATCCATTTCTTAGCACTTTACTTAACTTGTTTTGCCTTCCCATACAAGTTTGATGGTATGTTGTGCCTGTTTACAATAATATGCTGGGATTTTTCCTGGAATTCTTTTAAACATACAGATCAATTTCGAGGGAATTGACCGATGTGCTTTTTTGACGCTTCCATTTCATGAATATGGCATTTACATTTATTTAGAACTTCTTTGGTTCCTTTACGATGCTTGTAGATTTTAGCACATCCGTATTATATATGTCATGCTACATTTTTATCTTTGTGAGCCTATTCTATGAATAAAATAATAGTAATTTTCCCCATGTGTTTATAGACAGTATATAGAAATGTAATTAATTAATTTTAATTATCTATTGTTACTACTGTATTCTATGAACTTGTTGCACTTGTTTACTTTGAGAGCTTTGTTTTTCTTTATTTCAGTCACTTGGCATTTTCTTGGTAGATGTTTTCTCTGTAAACAAAAACACTATTTTTTTTTTTTTCAAATTATAAACACTTTAAATTCCTTTCCTGTCTGTTGAACTGATGAGGTTTTCAATAGTATTTTAAGGAAGACTGGACAAAGCTGACATTTCATCTTCTTCCAAATCTTAAGGGGAAATTTTCATGTTTGAATACTTCATTTTTAACAATTCTAAAATATCTTCATTTTTATTGTGTAGATTTAAAATTCTCTTTGCTGGTATTTTCTTCTTCCTAAAATACTTCCTTTAATATTATTCACCATTTTTCTTGGTGAATAACATTCTTGGTTTATAGTTGTTTTTCTTTGGTCATTAGTTACATCAATCATCTTCTCATGCATTAGAAACATGCTATAATCCTTGTTTTTCATCTACAGATAATGAGACTTAGGAACCTCTTTGGATGCCTTAACATGTTCTCTTTTTCTTTGATCTTAGAGCGTGAATGTGATAGCATCACAATGAATGGTCTGTTCCCATTTTCACTCATTTTTCTTCTTTGTCCTTCAACTAATTTGAACTAAATTTACATGTAGTGATATTTTTCTTCACTTTATTATTAACTGAAGTATTCATTAAAGGTATTTCTCATTTCTGATACCATGTTTATATTGGGGCATGTCTGTTGCCAAATCCACGTTTGGCCTACTACCAAATGGCACAGATGTCAGAAACCATGGCACCAGCTTTTGAGAAAAGAACCAGTTCATTATGAGGTCACCTAGCAGAAGAACAGAGACAGTACTCTCAAACAGTCTCTCCAAGGATAACATTTGTTATGTATTTATGGGGCTGAGGAACAAAATAAATATAAAAAATTCCAATTGGTGGAGTCTGATCAGTCACTTTCTGCCAATTCAAATTCTGGTCCAGAACTACAACAAAACAGCACATCTTGCTTCTACGTGTTCTTTTAACCATCAGTTTGGCATCTCAATTTCATCTTCTGTGACTATTTTTCTGCTCAAACAATGAGAGGTCACCTCAAGGACAGTGAAAACTTCTTTGGGCCTGTGCTCTAAAACACAAATGTAAATTCATTTAAAAAAATGTTTTTTCCCTCATTGAAAATGAGTACAGGAGTTACCCATTTTGGGGAGGTAGAATCAAATGAGGATTCTTACTTTGCTCCTAGGAATTTAAAGTAGTCAGAGTAACACTGGATCTAGAGGTCCCTTGACTTGGGATAAAAATAGAGCCCTACTAAACACTGGAGACTAATGATGACCACAACAGAAGAGACACTAAGGAAATTTATACACATACAACAAAAGGTGAGTAGAAAGAGGTGCATAGAGATGTGGCCAGGATGGAAACTGGTAGTTCAAACCCATGCTACCATGGTGGGGAGGTCCTGTGGGGGTACAGTTGCTTAGTGAGGAAGCTCACTCCTAAGTGTGGGAGATATGGACATGGATGATGTGGTACAGCCAGTGCACAGGGCCCCCTGTGACGGAGACGATGATCAGAAGAGTGCCGCCCCTCAGGACCTGATCCTCTGAAGTGTGCTGAGACCCCACTTGGAAAGCCCAATATGATATGTAATCAAATTTTATAATCAGATTATATTTATGGTTATTTTGAAGTCCTTTTGTTAGTTGCAGACTTTGGTTACTCAGCTCTATAAATAGAGAAATTCACAGGAAAAGGCCTAACAAGCAATGTGGAAATAAAAGTTTTTTATGAAACTGAATAACAAATTCAGATGCTTATGGGAATAAAAGGAATTTAAAAATTGCTAATGTAATATCAAGATTTATTATAAGGGATTGAATAATCTGTGAAGGACTCATAATGTAATTTTTTTTGTAGTACTAGCTTTTAATGTTTTGCTTTTTATTTACAGAAAGTATTTTTTGACCCATGACCTACAGCAATGAGAAATTGAAATTTATGATTAGAAGTAGAATATTCACTTTCTCTCTCTCTCCATGACACTCCAAAATATGAGCTTCTATGTGAAATTAGGTAACTAAGTATTACTTATAAGTCAACAAAATTTTATAGGATGAACTGTTTTGGGCCTGGTTTCTATTGTATAAGTCAAGTTTGTGATGGTAATCTAAAGACATGAACAGACACTTAAAAGAAAAGACATAAAGACATGATTAACCTCACAAATAATCAAAATTGTACACTGAAATAACACAAGAACCATATTTAATTGGTGAAGATTTTATTTCCCAAGTCAAGCAGGTTGGGAACACACTGTGGAGGTAACAAGGGGAGAAGCAGGTGCTCTGGAGTATTGCATCTGAGACAAGCAATGTGCAGCCTCAGGGAGGGTAATTATTAAATAGATCTTGTAATTAAAATATACACAGATTTAACAAACTAACAAAGATTTACCTCATAGATATGCTCTAAAGCAAATGATACTGTTTAAATTGCTATTCATTGCAGTATTTTTGTTTAGTTTCTGAGAGAAACCTCAGTATGATTTTAAATGACTCTGGTTTAGGGCCTCCCTGGTGGTGCAGGGGTTAAAGACAGTGCTATCAAGCTATCACCAGCCACTGCAGCAGGAGCTGGATTCCAGTTTGGACAGGAAGCAACCCAAATGGTGAAGCAGACTTCTCCTGCCTCACCTGCTGCTCCCCTCAACAGTGTATTTCAGTCTATCTGCCTGTTCTGCTCCCTACTCTGTGTCTGGTGAATCCCCTCTCCCCCACCCCCACCCCCAGCCCCATATCTCTGGCCTGCACCCCAGCTCTTGTATGCATAAATAAATAAAAATTTTTAAGATTTATTTATTTATTTGTACAAGAACAGGGGTACAGGCCAGATGCGCGGGAGGGTGAGAGGATCCACCAGAGACAGAGCGGGGAACAGAACAGGCAGACTGACAAAATACACTGCTGAGGGGAGCAGCAGGTGAGATAGGAGAGGTCTGCTGCACCATGTGGGACCCTCGCCAATGGCCGGGATCACACCTATGCTGCCGAAGCTGCGGACAGCTTCACAACACTGTGCTCAACCGCCTGTGCCACCAGGGGAGACCCTATAAATAAATCTTTAAAAAAAAAATGAAACGACTCTGGTTTAGCTGCAGGTGCTTTTAAAAAGTGAGGCAGCTCCTTATATATTGATATGTATCAATCTGCAAGTTGCATTTAAATTTAAAAATGAAGAAAGAAACAGTAACTATAAATGTTACCTATAGTCAAATAACTTTTGGTTTAACAGATAGCATGTGTGTGGATGTTCTTTTCTGGATTATTTCCAGATACTAGGAAACTGGTATCTAGAAAAGGCAAGTAAGATGCTTGCCTTTGAGAATGGAATGAGGCATATAGAGGACAAGATCGGCAAAGAGAATTTGTTCATCATTTCACAGTTCTTAATTCTGAATAATGTGAAGGCATTAATTACCTACTCAAATATATACATTTAAATGATTAACAAAAATAAATAAGAATCTTTCACTCCATCAAAATGAATTTATGTTTTCTAATGCATTGTTCCTTGAAGTTTCAAAAATTAAGCATATTTAATGGATTTTAATTTAAATATATGTTATATATTTACATAAATATATACAGTATATATTAATATATATCACCCCCTTTTTTGCCCTTTTGGGTTTAGGAAAACTTGAGATACAATAATCCTTCATGAATAATCCATATACACCATACCATATTGAATAAATAAGCTTTTTCCAAACAATCAATAAAGAATAAAATTATTGACTTTGATTATAGCAATTTATTTAATTATTAAGACAGGTAAATTTCTTCTCACAAATATAAGGAAACACTTTAGTACAAGCAGCAGTAGCAATATTTGTTAACTTGACGTATCCACATTTGGCACCATGGGTACTTGGTTGAAAACTCCTACAGTAGAGAAGATATTTTTATAAAAAGCCATGCTTCAGGCTAAGTCTTTTAATCCCAAATGTAAAATATAAGGGCACAATTATTTCAGTAGACATAAATATCCTGAGATAGATATATGGCTATAAAATTATAATGTATAATTATGTCTAAAATGAATGGAAATATTGCCAATGATAATAAGGTGGAGAAGATTACAAAGGTCAGTGTAGGATTCAACACATGTAGATTAGACATGCATATTTGAAAATTGTTCTGAGACCATGAACATAATATAGTAGTTAATAAAATAAACATATTGTGTGACATATGGTAACAAGATAAAAATATTTCCAGTTTCCCATGACTAAGATGACCATGCCCAGGGCTTGTGTCTCCAGCACTAGGCTTTTGAACAAAAAAGCTGTTCTTACGTGTTTGAAAAGGGAGGGCATATTTACACTGAGCCTAATGTCTTTCACAGCAAACACGGCATCACAATTTTATGAAATTGAGGAACGAATTTAGGGAACATGGTTTTTAAGTTTCAAGGATAATATACACAAGAAAATATTACTTCATTTTAATTTCCCCCAAATGATCATGAGAGTAAAAATAATTTCCAGGAGCAAAATTATTGAGAGAAGATACCAACCTTTGAATATCTGTACATTATTTCATATCACTTCTATTTAAGGTTTCTCATTGTCCTACACACTGTGCTTCATGGCTTTCTCGCATCTCCTCATAGACATATTTCTCTGCAATGTTTTCTGGTCATCCGTGCATTCCCATTGTTTTAAAATTATTTTGAAAAATTGGTTGTTTAAGGGTTTGGGCCTTAGGTTTCCTGATGGTCACTTCCTGCCTTCCACTAGAACACTGTCTATACACTGAGATGACACAAATTTACACCCCACACAGACTTCTCACTGGAACTTCATAACCACCTATCAAAATGCCCAAGGGACACCCCATAGGAGCTAAATGTTGAGTGGATCAATCAAACATAGACAGAAACCAAAATCTAAAAATTCCCATCAGAATTGATGGCATTCTTTATCATTCCTTTGCCAAAAACCCTGGAACCGTCACATATTTCTCTGTCTCCCACATCTTTGAAATATTTGTAAATTCTGCAATTTTTAATAGCACCAACCTGCACCTCTTCAACTATCTACTATTCTTCTCTAATCTAATGATTCCAAACAGACTCTCTAAAATCTAGTTTTTATCCCTTGTCATGTATCCACACAATTGAATCTCAACAGAAAACCTAGATGAGTCTTGAAAACAGGAAGTCTAATTTGGAAACATCTCTGCTCAAAACCCTCCATTTGTTTCTTAATACACTTACGAAAGAAAAAGCAAAACCCAAAGTTCCCACACTGACCTTTGATGTCCTACACATCTATTAACAAAACTCTTATCATAGAACACAGAAGAAAACATGTAGCAAAATATTAATTTCCTGTGTTTAGAGGATCCAGCACAACAGAATATGGGAAGATGAAGTCCTTCAGATCAGATTGTTTGGGGCTCTGAGATTTACATTTGGTTGCCTGTCTAAAAAATTGCATCAAATGGTGTTAAGCATGTCCCTTGAATTGCAAACAAATTTTTTCCTTTTCATATATATCCATGTAATCTATAAATAAGTTACTGAGAAAGAAATGGAGAGGGAAGATTATGAGATGAAGACTTACAGATTCCGGGAAAGTTCTACTCCATCCTGCCACAGCCAGGGATGTGTAGTTCCTTTATTGTGTAATCCAACCCAATAGTTGTATTTGATTCTTTGTTGAATGAATTGCTGTGAGAAAATTAGAATTATTAGTGTTATTTATAATTTTAATCATAATTTATCTAGAGAGGACTTACTCGGGCTTAATAAAGCCAACATACCTGCTCCTTTTTGTCATCAATCTTAATGAGATGAGAATGCCGGGCTTCACATGCCTGCTTACTCTCAACCCAACTTTTCTCTTCTTTTGAAAAGTAGTAGCAGTCGCTTCCACAGCAGGACCACTTCCCATGACATGTATCAGGAGGAATTTGTTTATCTTGAGACACACCTCAAAATAATGCACATCTCATTAATGAGTACTTTATGGAATGGAGCCTGTTTATCTTGATAACAAAAATCAGTATGATCCTCAATCCCAAACCCTTTAGAGACCTGTACATTTATGTACTTCATTGTTTCCTGCTGATAAATGACAGAGAATATGTGATTTCCCTATATCATAAAAATCTATATGCTAGGAAGAGTTCCTCTCCAAATCTGTAGGTAAGTGTCCTGTAGATGCAGGATTACTGTCCTGGCTACTCTCTCAAAAGACCTAAAGCCACTGTAGTACTGAGGAATCTTGTCCTTCTCAAGTACAAATAGTCATTAGTAATATGAAGTATTGCTCCTCAAGTTAGAAATCAAAGTGAATTTATAGATGATATAT